GTTTCAGGCTTTGATCTGGTAAGTTTTGTTTCTTCCCTTTTGAGTTGATCTCTTATCCTCACCCGTCACTGCTTTCATACGAATTGAAATTCGTTGAAATCCAAGTTTGATTTGTCACTGGCCTTGTTAGTTTTTTTTTCTTTTCTTTTTCTTCTTCTTTGAGAAATTTTTGGCCTTTAATTTCTTTAGTTCGTCCGTCGATCTTGTTTTGCTTGACTCCTTGGTGTTAACAACATGATTATTGTTTTTCATTTTATTATCAGTGTAATCGCCTAGCCAGTAAAATTAGGTCCATAATTGAGTTAATTTGTTGTTATGAAATCAAATTGTTTAGCTCATTTAATTTTGCTTCTTGTTTCGTTTGTGTTTAAATAATGGTTCCAGGTTTGTTGTTTGGGAAATTTTGGCTCAGCTCTAATTTGGGCCCATAGGTGTTGTAATTGGTTTGTAAATAACAACAGGCCCAAATAGGGACTCAATTTAGGGTCTGTAGACCCATTAGTCTGGTCAATTTGACCCAAGATGGTTTTTAGGGTAATTTTCAAAGGGTAAAAGGTTAATTTGGGTAGTTTAGAATAGGGAATCTTTTAATAACAGAAATAGAAGCTTCTAGGGGGTTTGGGTGGGGGTCATTTATTGGATTTCAGGATTGTAGCGGCTTTAGCTTGGGCACCAAGTCATAAAATGGGGGACTAACTAAGCAAAATGAAAATTCACAAAGGGGTAAAATGCAAAACCAAAATCTGAAGGAAGACCTACCTTTCTTGCCTATAAAGGCATCTTAACTTGCCTTTCAAGGGAGATTTCCAAGAGCTGAAAATACGGAAGAGATTTTAGAGCCTCTAACCTTCTGAAATCAGAGAAATAAAAAAGGGAAAAGGTTTTGAAGAGCTGAAAATCCAGAAAATAAAAGGAAAACACATCAATTTTACTGTTTCATTGGTTTGGCATCCTAGTTCGATTCCTGTTAATTCCCGGACTTATTTGCGAGTCATTTGAGGTTTCAAGATGGTCTAGTTTGGATTTTGGTTTTGGGTTTGAGTTGAGTTTGATATTTGGAGCTTAATTTCAACATTGAATCTGGACTGATTGATTTTTGAGTTGATGTTCTATTAAGTGCCTTGTTGTTGACTGCTGCTGCTCCTCACTGCTATTGTCCTCATTCCTTCTATTGTTTTGTTCTCCAGGTATCTCTATAGACTTTGGACATTTGCAGGATGTTGGATATGTAATCTGAGTGAAATTCAATGGAATGCAAGCTTATTTGATTTAGTTTTTTTTTTCCTCTATCCTTTTACTATTTTATGCTATGTAGTAGATCTGTAATAATAGGTGTCACATAAGCTTTTACATGCATACTATAAGGCTGTGTTTGGGATCAAGTAGAAGATTTAGTTTCAATGTTGAAGAGCATGTCTAGGAATCCTTGTTTAAGATCAGTTTGATTTAAAATGTATGAGTATTTATCTAGTTGAACTTAAGAATGCTGGTATGCAAAGGGCTTGGTTTATCAGTTATCCGGGCTCGTGCTTTTAGCCCAGTAGCTTATTGGTTCGGTTTATATTGTATTTTTATATAAGGGGGGTTTGATTGATTGCATGCTAAAATGGAAATGGGTTTGTAATTAATCAGTACATGTTAATCAGTTAAGGACTAGAAGGAAAAAGTTTAGTTCGATCTCGATTTCCTGTATCATGTTTAAATCGATTTGTGGCTAAATGGATTGGGTAAATGTCAACACTGATTTTTCTATATCATGGTTGCTTCGTGTTTGCGTTAGTTTAGGTATAAGAGCTGAAATGTTAGCATGAATGTTTCAATTCGAGTATAGGAAATCTGCAGATTTTTCTAGTTCAGCTTGTTCATACATTTCCAGTTAGAGAACTTTCCTCTAGTGTTGCTTAATTTCAGTCACCAAAGTCTTCCCCTCTCACACCTGGGAAGGCTTCGCTCGATTTGGGCCTGCCTTAAGCCCAATTTCAATTCCGGCTCAGCGTGTTAAGGCAGGCCTGTTTTTTTTTTTAGCTTTTCAAAGCCCTTGGCTCTCACGTGCCTCTCCTGTGGACTGGATCCATTTTGGGCCCAGGTTTGAACTAATAATTGATCCAGCAACAAGTAAGTAGTAGGCTTTGGGCCTTTCAAGTTAAGTAGCGGACTCGAGCTAAGGGTTTCTTCAGTAATGGAGAGCGCCTTGTTCGAGTTCGGACTTGAACTTGGGGCCCGAATTTCCTTGAATATCGTGATATTAATTAATTCATAATGTTAACAAATTAAGTTTTTCTTAGAGACAATTCTTATAGATAATATTAGTTCGCCTTTAGAATGTCCTTTAAAAAATAAAATTGAGGAGCGCCGCGCTAAATAAATTCGCAAATCGCGTGCCCTCTTTAATTACTTTATTAAAATACTTAGAATTCGGGACGTGCCGTTTAGCGAATTTTCACGGCCTCCCGCAAAGATAATAACACGTTAGTCGCTTTAGGCGCATTTTTTTTAATAATCTTACTTTCCTAAATACGGGTGTGCATTTCATGCAACCCAAATCGGAATCCCAAAACGTTGAATAAAAATGTGTCGAGGATACGGGTGCATTTCATGTGACGTGATCCAAAAACACGTTTTTAAACGACGTTCACTTTCTTAAAATTTTTAACTAAAAGCGGTTAAATAATTCTAAAATTGCACTATATGGATGACATGTTTAAAATCAGATAATTAAGCCAAATATAGCAGTTGAGCGACCGTGCTAGAACCACGGAATCCGAGGGTGCCTAACACCTTCCCTCGGGTTAACAGAATTCCTTATTCAGAATTTCTGGTTCGCGACTGTTAAACAGAGTCAAACTCTTCCTCGATTCGGGTTTCAAACCGGTGACTTGGGACACCATAAATCTCCCAAGTGGCGACTCTGAATCTCTTAATAAACGAATCCCGTTTCGATTGTCCTTTAATTGGAAAAACTCCTTTATTATACCCTTCACGGGGTGTAGTAAAGAAAAAGGAGGTGTGACACAAAAATTATTGTAATATTTTACATTACATTCGGTACAAGTGATTCGGTTACCAGATATATCAAAAAAATCTCATCTCTCTCTCCATCTGTGCAAAATTAGTCAATCGAATTAAGAGGACCCAATATTTTTAGCAAACTTTGAAGGAATCCTTATTCAAAGGAAATCCCCAAAAAGATATACAATGATATATAGATATATATATATATATATATATATATATATATATATATATATATATATAAAATGATACGTTATAAATAAAACTTGACGAAGAAGAAGCAAACTTGGGGAAAGCCTCGGAAATTTTTGGATGGTGCATAGGTGTTCTAATAGAGAAGGTAATGAAGTCTTGTAAAATTAAAACTGAAAATACATGTTTGTTTTAAAAGTGGATATACTTTGATTGTATTAGTGACTAATAGATGAATAGTTGAGACATTATAGGAGTCTAAAAAGTTAGTCATTTGCAATTGAGTACTTAAAAATTGGTTTGTGCCATTATCCCACGTTTAGGGGAGTAATTTTAGGAGTTTATGAAATTAAAAAGTTAAAAAGTTGTAAGAAATTGCATTTTATGGAATTTTATCAAAGTAGTTGTAATAATTCTAAATAAGTTTTAAAGAAGTTGTATTTTATATAATTCTTCCTAAAATTTAATTTGTAAAGTCCAAGTTAACTATGTAACCCAATTGAATTTAATCCAAATTTTGTATGGGTTAGATCCAACAAATTTTATATGTCTGCATACCCCATCTTTTTTTTTACACATGGGAGATTTTTTTTTACACATGAGATATCTATCTTTTACACGTAAGAGATCTAAAAAAGATATTTTTTTAAATTCAACATTGTAAAAAGCCACGAAGGCCTAAAACCCCGAATATGGGTGTAGATAATAAATTGCGTCGAGAAAATAAAATCAAGACCGAAAAATATTGCAACAATCGTAGTATTTTATTTTAAATATTTGAGTATAAAATCTCTATGAATCCTCTGATTCTTCTTTCCAATAGTAAATAAATTCAAGGGCCTTTGAGCTTGATCTTGAATATGTAGTTGTTGCCACGAACGATGGTCTTGTTCTTGAGCTTGAGTTTGATTGCTTGAAGCTTGAAACTTGTAGAGGAATTTGCAACATTTGATCCACGAGCTCTTTCTTGCTTCTTGTTATAACTTATGGTGTCTTTTCTGGATTATGAAGACCCCTATTTGTAGTTGTGGAATGGAGGAGTTGTGATAAGAACAAACTCTTTCCGACCAATCAAATTGAAGTGTGACATGATCGTATTTGAATGGCCAGAACATGTCACTTGCACACGTGGCGCGATTTCATTGGCCTTTTAATGTGACTTGGCATGCCTTGTCATTTTGACACATGGCACGATCCTATTGGCTCTTCCGCTTGCATTGGCGTGCCATGTCATTTGACACGTGGCATCAAACTGGGCCTCTACGAAGATGTCATTTTGGGCTTAACGAAGTGGGCTCATCATCTGTAGCCCAACTAAATGAGTTAACCCAATGGATTAAGACTTATTTATTTAATTCATATATATATATATATGGACTTATATAATTAATTCNATATATATATATATATATATATATATATATATATATATATATATATATATATTTGAGCTTATATAATTAATCTAATTATATTAGTCCATAATACTTAGTTGAACAAACATATTTAATATATAGTCCAAATTATTTTATTGAATTAAATCCAATAAATTTTGTATGCCTACAATGGGGTTGACATTTCTTTATTCCCAAGTTTGTGTATTCATCAAATTTGTACAACTACCCCAAGAAAGGTTTCAAAATTTCCAATTTCTATTTTTACAACCAAAAAAGAAATGTCACTTAAAACCTAATCAAGTAACCAAAACCTGACCCGCAAACCCATTTTCAGTTGGAAAAAATCCGACTTGACACGACGGTGAAGGGGTAGGGGCCGAGGAAATCCCGTGATTGACTCTTGGTCGCATGCACCTCTGAAAACGACCTTACTCTCCCACCCGCCCCACCATCTAAAACGACGCCGTTCTATTCTCCCCCATATTCCCACTCCTCTGGCGTACGTTAGCTGGCACAACCCCTCACTCACTCTTTGCTGCTACTGACTTCATTTCATAACTCCTTTAGTACTACTTCTTATCAGCTCATCCAAGTCCCCAAAAACACAAAAAAAAAAAAAATCGGAAAAATTCAAGATTTTTGGTTGTTGAAGCTCACTTGAGTATGATGCGAATTGGGTTGACTTCAATTTTGACTTTTAGTTGACTGATTGATAGATCCATCTATTTCAACCAACCCGTTTAAGGAAAAAGGTTCTTTCCCTTTCTTGTTGTTTTTTTCTTGATATCTTTGTTAGTTTAATTAGAGTTTAGTAAATTCAATAATGTATGTTAATTGGTGATTTGGAGATCTGCATTTGTTGTTGTTAGTTGTTTTTTCTACTGGCTTTACCTTTAGCTTACAAATAGTCAATATTTTGGTGAAGGGATTTGTAAATTGAAGTGGGTTGCTGTTATTTTTGGTTTATGATGACCCTAAATTTGGGAAATGAAAGTTACATGTAATGCGTTGTGGAGTTCAGCTTAGAACTTAAGTTTGAAACTTTGGGTTTAGATAGTTAATATATAGATAATGGTCAATATTTTGGTAAAGAGAATTGTAAAGTGAAGTGGGTTGTTCTTATTTTGGGTTTATGATGATCCTAAATTTGGGAAATGAAAGTTGCATGTAATGTGTTGTCGAGTTCAGCTTAGATTGTAGTAAAGTTTGGAACTTTGGGTTTAGATAGTTAATATATAGATAGCCCTTGACCCTTGTTGAGAGATGTATGGCATTGTGGAAATCTGTTGAAACATTCTTAAGGGAATGTCGAAGTTACGAGATTTAGGGTACATTATGTGATTATGAACATGTCATGTGCTGGAGAGTTCGTGTAATAGACCAGGGAACTGAGTGACTTTGATTTGACTTGTGTTTGTTCTGGAGAATGGGTATAAAATAAGGGGAAATGAGTGACTTTGATTTGATTTGTTTTAGTTGTATTGACATAATGTACGTGTTCCAGTACTAATTGAAAAGATGGTATTATGAATCCTTGGTCGCAATATTGGTGAGCGATCACTTCGAAGCATGTTTACATTTTTTCTGATCATAATTTGGTCAATAGATAGAAAGGAACAACAGATGTTTTGAAGGTTTATCAACTCCAAATCATTCCCTCAAGGCTAGATGTCTTTTGTATCTTTATAGCTGGCATTACCTTTCTCCCTTCGATTCTCCCTGGTAATAGAATAGTCTTTTTGTAATTGAGCTAACAAAGTCTTTTTTGCTTCCATAACTTTTGTATTATTATGCATCTTCTTGATGCCAGCAATGAAATCTATTATTACTTCATCAAAAAAATTTGGTTAATAGATAGAACTATTTTGTTGATCTCAGGGGCCCCTTCGCCGATTGTTAAATTGTATATATAAGGTTAAATTATTTTTTTTCAAGCATATGTATTAGGTGTTGAATTTCCTTAATTTTTGTGTGTTTATTTCCTTTTTTTTTGAGTTATTTTTTTTTTTGAATCCCCTTGGTGAAAATCCTACTTCCGCCACTGGTTGATCTATTCTCTACTTTTTGTTTTTTGATAGCCATCTTTGGAAGTTACTCTACTGTTATTGTCGTTTTGGCTGTTGGTCTTGTGCATTGTCTTCATAATGTTACCTGTTTTCACGTCTTGGATAAGCTAGATTATTTTCTATATTCATCCTAGATTTCAAGCATTCCAGGTTTGCCTCTGAATTGAGAACTAAAGAACTTCATCCCTCTATCTCAGTTATTCTTAAGCAGTCCATTGAGTATTTGTGTTAGTCGGAACCTATCATAAAAGAAATTGATGTTTGTTGGTTATCGTGTGCTCTTTCTTCTGGATTGGTTCTTAAGGTTAATCAGTTCACGAAATTACTGAATTCGTCAAATTTCCTGTTTCAGTGCAAGTTGGTAGAGCCAAAGTTAGTATAGCATGGGTGTCTCAAGCAAATGGATCAGAGCACTGGTTGGTTTAAAGAAAGCAGAAAAGTCTCATTCTTCAGAAAAAGATGAAAATGTGGGTAACATTTTCTTTTCTATGTTATTTCTTTCTTGCATATGTCTTTGATAGCTGACTGATTCGTTGGTTTTCGATGGGTATCCTAATCAATGCTTACATCTCAGCAGACTACTTGTATAATCTTTGGTATCATCTTTACATCCTAAAGAGACAGGCTTATTCTCGAGTAATATCACTTTCTCGCTTAAGTTAGCTTTCGTCCTTTCACCTCTGTCATCTGGAGCCTGAAATGCAGTGATGTTGATTGTGTTCTCAATTGGTTATCTCATATCTTCACCAATTGGCACATATCAGAAAATTTACCAACACGAAACTTCAGTGGTTAATTGATTCTGAAAACATTGTAAGAAGATAAAAGCTTGTCATTGAAAAAAAAATTATAAGAAGATTTTTTCAGTGTGTTGGTTAGTGAGATCATATTTAACTTATCTGGATTGTCAATGCCTGTTTATTTCAAGGTACTGCAAAGGTAATTATGCATATTGGATGAGCATGTGTACTTAATCTTAACTCGTTTATTATAACAGAAATCAGGAGGGACTGGAAAGTTTTGGCACCGGAGAAAGCACTCAGTTGAGATTGATTCTGACCTACTTCAAAAAGAGCTAACTCATAATGATGCTATTGCAAGATCAGTTGAAGATATCAGCAGCACATCAGTTCCAGTTGCTGCCAGCTTGCCTTCAAGTTCACATCAATTGCACCATGCCCCACAAGTTCAGCATAGTATGATAGAAGAGTCAGCAGCTATACGCATTCAAACAGCTTTTAGAGGATTTCTGGTACTGTGTCAGCCTGTAATTTTAGTTAATTGAAATATATGACATGCCTGCTTGGTTGTGCTTTTGGTCCTCGTATCCTTCTTTTCCAAGACTGAGTTTTGACTATGTCAATGGATCGAGCACTTACCACAGATTAATTGAAGTAGATTTCTCAGTAATACGGAAAAGACAATTGCTAGTCGTAGAATATTATTCTCATCAGACCTAAACCTCAGACTGAAACCAAGGGTTCGGAAAATTTCTTCTCTTTAGGCGAAGTAAATTAACCTAAAGTTAAGTAATCCGAGTTTGATCTGGATTTCCCCCATTTTTGTATCATAGACCAAGGATCTATTTTCATTCCTTGTCTACTCTTTTCTTTCCAGTATTTTCATTATGAATTTTTTAGTATTCTATTTTACGCGTCACAACGATTAGGAATTGAGAATCTATTTCTTTAGATCAAAGAAGGGTCTAGCTGTTGGAATAATGGTATCCATTGCTATTTGAGCACTCATTGTTACTAAAATTGGTGAATTGAAGGTACCGAAAGAGAGGGATTCGAACCTTGGTAAACAAAAGCCTACATAGCAGTTCCAATGGTACGCCTTGAACCACTCGGCCATCTCTCCTAGTCCTACATAATGATAAAAGGAAGTCACTTAAAATACAGTAAATCCAAGTCTGAATGTACCCTTCCCCAATCAAACAATTGGAAAACAATAATCTTTCTTCCAGTAAGTAACTGGTTTATCCACTTTATACTGGTAATTGAGCATCAGTCATAAGACTCTTTCTGCCCTCAGAGAACCTAAAGAGAATCAAATTAGGAAAGGCTGATCCTAGAGAAGTAAGGAACTAGAGCAATATAACCTCCTGAAGAGGGATAAATATAAGCCCTAGGGAGGTGCAAAGTCAAGATACGTTTTTGATAAACGAAAATCAAGAAAGATCTGCATAAATAAAGAATAGGATACAACCAGATTATCTAGGTTAAAAGAACTGATGAGCTGGATGAGATCTTTGATCCCTTTCGGAGATCCCTCTAACACTAAGTTCCAGAAACTAATGCAACAAGGTCTACTTTGTACTTGCTAACTACGATAAGTCCTCCTATCCTGATCCTTAGGCCTTCTTTGATATCAGACCAGTGACAACTAGGAGGAAAAAAAAGATTGGTAATAAAAAGAAGTACCAATGGGGGAAAGAGCATGAAGAATTACTTTTGTCACGAAAGTGGATTGCACATTTTAACATTAAATACATGTTTATTTTCTTTTTTCATATTTAAGAAACTTATGTTTGCCATTTTAGGTAGGGGTACTTTGTGCTATGGTTAATTCCTAAGCAATTTTTATGTTAGACATGTTCTGCAGAGACTGGAAATTTGTATAAGGTTAAAAGAATGTATATCATATAGAACTTACTTGCGAAAATGGCGAAAAATGGTGTTTTATATGGTTGCAACTTTTAGTCAGGGAAAACCTGCCTGACTCCAGTTTCTAAGTTGGTATCTGACTCATAGATTAAGCTTTTGGACATAAAAGAACTTACTGATAACTGAATATAGGAATAATATGTTAACCACCGTGTTTTTAATTTCTTATGAATCTTATCAGTTGGTGAGTAGAAACATACTTGGGGAATTGAAGAGATAATTGTTAACTAGGAAAAATTACAGCCACTAAATCTAATTTGATATCTTGGCACTGGTCAGGCGAGGCGAGCTCTCCGGGCTCTAAAAGGATTGGTGAGACTACAAGCCCTTGTTAGGGGTCATGCAGTGAGAAAGCAAGCTGCGATTACCCTCCGTTGCATGCAAGCTTTAGTGAGAGTTCAGGCACGTGTACGAGCAAGGCGTGTTCGCATGGCACTGGAAAGTCAAACCGACCAGCAGAAACTTCAACAACAACTAGAAAATGAGGCTCGGGTACGAGAGATCGAAGTAAGCAACTTCTAAATTGTTATTACTTAAAATACTCGTTTGGCGTTTCCATAGTGCCCACTACTTGTGTTAATGGCATTTATCACTAGATTATAATATTAATAAGTGGTTAATCTTGTCTTTTTTCTAGTGGAATAGTCTCTTTGTAGTGGCATGCCAATTTTGCTTTAGGGTTTTTCCACGGATTCTGCGCATGGTGGATGTTGTCCAACAATATATGATATACACTAAACTATGTGGAACTTTCCTGATAGGTTCTTCATGGATGTTCCAGGGACTATCGGACCTCAATCATTTGAATGTTGTGGCCAAGAAATTAGGTTATATCATGGTTCATGGTTGTTCTTGTCATTTGTCTCATATGTTTGGTTTTTCTACTTTATGTGGTGATTCGAGTTGTAGCCATAGGAATCTTTATCTTGCTGACATGAGCTTTCTTGCCAAAACATGCAAAAAAAAAGTTTCACTTGCAAAACTACGCATTACCTGGTGGAATCCATGTAGGTTGACCCAAACTGTTCACATTAACATGCCTCTCACCTTTTTGCTACTGACTTTTCTAACAGGAGGGCTGGTGTGACAGTATTGGATCTGTTGAGCAAATTCAAGAAAAGTTGCTAAAGAGACAAGAGGCAGCTGCTAAGCGTGAAAGAGCAATGGCCTATGCTTTGGCTCACCAGGTAAGCATCTGATTGTCCTTCTCGACGATGTTTGTCCATTGCTGTATCAGTTCTTTGAACTGATATCTTGAAGGCAAAACTTCAGATTAGATTTTAAGTGGGAACTTGTAAGAGAAGCAGCCGTCTATGTTAGCTTTGCTAATGATATTTTGAAATATGATCTGTGTAGTTTGATATGTTATATTGATTCCTAGATCATTAAAAAACCTGTGATGTTGTGTCTTGATTGAACATTAGAGGAGTGGGAGGTCTTTCCAACTTGAAGGTGTCACCACTAGGGGAAAGACACAAGTTTCCGCTTCCAGTTCGCAACAAGCTATGAAAGTCCTCCGTGAAGGAAGGAGATGGTTGAATGTTATCGGTAATCTAGAGAGAAGGGGAACCATCTCTTTCTTATGACATTTGACTTGTAAATTTTACCAAGGCCAGCAGACGCTTAGGGTCGGGAATATGAAGAGTAAACTTATAGTTTTGTGACCTTGTAGGTATATTTTAATGATAGGTTTGACAGGAACTGGATGATCCATTTTGGTCAACTACCTAACAACAAATTCCTATGTTTCTTTTATTATGATATTTCTAAATAATTTCCTGTATCCACAAGTTCCCTCGTTTCCAGAATTTATTATATAATTGTTGGATCCAATTGTACAATGGAGCTTTCAATGAAATTGGTTCTAGAGTCAATCCCCTCAAACTCAGAGCTCCCTTTCCCTTTCTTTCCTTCCAGGGGCCCTTATCATTTGTACGAGAAAAAAACTCAAAGAAAAAGAGTAGTAAACATGATCGATTAAGTTGGTTGTTTGATATATACACACACACACTCTCTTATCGTTTATTTACTGAATGGATAAACTTTGCATTTTGGCTACGTAGAGATTGCAACCAGAAATACCCTGGTGCCTTGGTTAAAAAGTATTATTATGCAAGAGAATTAGCAGAAGGCTTTGCTTAATTATAAGCTCTAATTTAAGGTAGAGTAGGTCCAAGGACAAATCAAGTTCTTTAAGGTTTAAAGATTGAGAAAGGTTTTTGTAGGGTAACTTAGATCTTTAGGCTTTCATCTGTTCAAGTTCTTTGTCTTTTAACAGAGAATTAATAAATTGGATGCTAGTTTCCGTAAAGGCTGGAACAAGGGTGATCAAGGAAAATGTTTTGTCATGAAACTAGGATATTTGCAGGTGGAAGAAAAGTTCAAAAAGAGAAAAAAGATAGAATTTAAGAGAAGCAGGCACGTTACTGTTCAAGTCCTATGGAGCAGAAGGCTCATTTTATGTATAATGGCTAGGGGGCCCGGTTTCCGTAGAAGAAGAAAGTAAAAGGCGTGGAAGTTCGCCCCGTTAGCTCTCATGTGGATAGTTTGGGGGAAGAGAAATAGGAGAGCGTTTGAGGGGATTAAGTCTTCTTTTTCACATCTTAAGAATAGTTTTTTATCTTTGCTCGCTTTTTGGTGCACTCATATAGCCCCTACTTGTATAGAGGATTGGGCGTCATTTGTAGAGAATCATGTTCTGATGTAAATTCTTTACTTTTTGGTATACTTCTTGTATACGGGAGTTTTCTCCCTTTTGATTAATACAATTTACCTTATCAAAAAAAAAAGTCTAATGGCTAGGGGTGAGGGATCATATGTTGGAATTAAGTTTAAAAAGTTGATTGAAATTCAGAAGGGCAAATGCAGATATTTTCCTTGGGTGATGTTTTATTTTTCTGGAGTTTGCTGTCTTAAAGTGCTGAAACCTTTTCTGGGAAAAACATTACACGGAGATTAAAGAAGTTGAATAGTTTCTATAAGGCACCTATTGGTTGTTTTATGGGGAAGTTAGCTTTCCTACATTTTTCGTGTGTTTTATAGGTAGGAAAGTTGTGGTAAAAGCGGTTAAAAGTTTACCTCAAGAAGCACTTACCTTCAAAGCAAGTCTTGCAAAAGAGTGTGGAAGTGTCACGGGGAAAACGGTTACGTACTCATTTTAAACATTCCATTTCCTTTCAACAAATACCTGTAAGAATATTTATTTTCTTTGTTCCACCAGTTGTCATGGGGAACAGATTCCAGCTACGTTTTGAGGACATCCAAACAAAACCAGGGCCCTTTTGGAAAGTCTTAACCACTAATTGAAATTGCACTCTAATGCCCAGCGAGGGAACTAACCAGTACTACTAGTAACACCACCTGAATCTGATGTTAGTTGAATAACCATTGTTATTGAATTCGATGATGTGGAGGAAGACAATGAAATTGTTGATGCATCGAATACCATGCGTGTTGTCTCTTGGGAAAGGAGAGTGATTGGCATGTAAGCAAGAAGCCAATTCTAATAGTGTCAACCCCCATCACTGCCACCTTTTTCCCTTTTTATAAATTCCACCATAAAGTTGTAGCACCTTCACATTGTATTGTGATTAGTACACATGTTCTCTTCTGTTTGAAGAAATCTGTTCAACTAAACACAGGATAAATATAAGAAAGCTGATCTTCTACACAGTTTTTCCCGACAATTGTTCTTAGCATAAAAACTTTTTACGCTTAACTAAATGGAACCTGTAGTTTTGTCCAAGTAGTGATAGACATTGGAACTAGTTAAAATTCGTCAATGCTTTTGGAAAGGTCTTGAAATCTGCTTATAGATGGGAATATCCAACAATTAAAAAATCATACAAAATAAGCAATAACAGTGTGTTTTTATGCATTTCTTCCTATTTAGGTTTTTAATGGTAGCCTTTTGATTTTCTTCTATGAAATTTTGTCATAACTGCTTCTACATTCAAGAGCATGATCAAAAGGTGTTATTTGTAACTAATAGGTCGAATATGCATCACTAATAATGGTTATAATACTAGTAAACCGACTATATTTTCCTCAATGCTGGTGCATCTTGGTCAGCCTGCTTTCTTGGCTAAAATGTATCTGAATCTAAATTTACAATAGCATTTGTATCAGCTGCACTAGTAGATGAAATACTTGGCAACCAGCTTATATTGTAGCTCATAAAGCTCAACTGCTGGGTATTTTCTCCTCTTCATTTCACTTGCTATATGCTATTTGGGTCCTTTCTCTTCTTCGTTTCCTATGTTATATGCTATGCGTACTTTTATGGACACATGGTGCCTCTAGTTAGAATTCAGGAACAACTCTAGAAGAACAAAAAATAGCTGCCAATACTGGAGGCCTCCTAACTCCCGACGTCATTTTATGATACTGGTCATGATCTAGTTAGGCAAGGTTCCAATGCTTTCATTTCAAGGCACCTTTTCTTTTTCTTATTGAATCTATTTTATGCTGCAGTGGCAGGCAGGATCAAGGCAGCAGGCTACCCCTTCTGGGTTTGAACCAGATAAAAGCAACTGGGGTTGGAACTGGTTAGAGAGATGGATGGCAGTACGCCCGTGGGAAAATCGCTTTCTCGACATTAATGTCAGAGATGGAGTCATGCCTCCTGAAAATGGATCAGCTGATCCCAAGAACGGGATGAAGAACCAGGCAAAATCTGCTGGGAAGAAACCAGCAACTGCAAATCTTGCAAATGAGAGAGCGGGTCCACCTCATTCAAGCAGTAACTCGAAATCAAATGAGAAAACAGCAGCATCTCTCTCTGATGGCTGCAGCAGTTCTTCCCCGAATGTGTCAGCAAGCACACAAGAAACGCCTGCAGCATTCGTTAACAAACCAAAGTCTAAACCAAATCTTGAAGATTTAGTTGAGGAAGCTAGTTCAAGACCCGCCCTTGGTTCTAGATCACATAGCAATCCTAAGGAGAGATCCACTCCGTCTGATAAACAAGGAAAACATAGATTGTCTCTGCCTAGTAGCGGTAAGTCATCTTTCCCTCTCTTCTTTGCGTTTTACTTTTAACTGATATTGCCTTGTGTCAGACACTAGAAATGTTAAGCAATATAGACCCTCTTTGTTCCATCCACTTTCTGCTCTCCTGAGGCTTCATATAGGCTTTTTCTGGCTTGGTATAAAGGCAAAATTAAAAATAAAAGGCAGCCCGGTGCACTAAGCTCCCGCTATGCGCGAAGTCCGGGGAAGGGCCAGACCACAAGGGTCTATTGTACGCAGCCTTACCCTGGATTTCTGCAAGAGGCTCTTTTCACTGCTCGAACCCGTGACCTCTTGGTCACATGACAACAATTTTACCAGTTACGACAAGTCTCCCCTCCATAAAGGCAAAATATTGTTAATTAATTACTCTCTTCTCCATAAATACCCCGAGTCAATATCTGTGTGTTTTATTCCCTCTGCGCATATCTTATTCTCCTCATTTCAATTGTCTCAAATTGCTCACTGTCAATAAGCAAAAGTAGCATAGTAACTTGTCCCCAGTCCCCCCCCCTCTCTCTCTTCTCGGGTGAATCCCCAGAACACCCCGCATTTTGTGTATTTCTTTGCAAATCCCTCACACAGGTAACCAATTTTGGAGTGCTATGCTGAGGGAAACTTGTTTATTCTCTTTTATTAGCCCTTCTATAATCGAAGAGGACATTAAGAAAGGATGTGAGCAGATATTTATCCGATACATCTTTTCAGGCAAATATCTTAGTGCAGTCACAATGCACATTAGTAGCCACTCTAGTGAGTTCAAGTTTTCCTACGATTAGTGTTTCATACACTCTAATTCCATGATATCTATTTTGCCAGGTCTTGCACCTCAGACAACTAAACAACCCAGCAGAAGTGTTAAAAAGACATCTAGTGCACAGAAGCCTTTGAAGGAGAAATCCAAATTAAATGGAACTGATACTAAATCTACAGAACCTGTTCCACAGGGTGCTGATTAGTTTTTAGGTACTCGTTGAAGATCCTGATTTCCGATCCAAGTGTTGCCCTTGCATTGTAAATAGAGGGCACCTTCTTAAAGGAGATGGAATGTTCTTCTAGGGATGTGTCCGTGGCAGAGTTAAGAGACTGGCTTGCTATCTCCTGAATAATGTCGTGGTATTTATTTTAATTCTTGTCATAATTATTGTTGTAATTTACGGAATAGTGGAATTTACTTGGGATTGCAGATTCGTTGAGGTTCTAGTAAAGAGGTCAGTTGTATGTGTTGTTTTCTGTTTCCTCTCCCTCCCACTGTAAAAAGGTTGAATTTGCTTTCTGTGCAACTTTTCTTGAGCTGAGGCTGGGGTATTTGGTGAGTTTGATTGCCAACCTCTTGTAAGTTTACACTTTCTTTGTTGAGCTGTACAAGATCTGGATGTAGTATTCATTCATTAAGCTAAGATGGTAGACCAGATTGTGCGCTGCACTGTAACATACACTATACGTTGATATTATTAACACCAAAATTTGAGTACCATGGGTTGATTGACCCTCAATTCGCCGAAGGTAATTTAAGGTAGACTATTTACTGAGAGTTTAATGGGCTAGTCGGATAATTCAGCTTGTAATTCCTAACCAAAATGTAGGCAACAAGTAACTGTGATCGATAGATACTTTACAACAAAGATTCAATCAAGTAAAAACATAAACAAATAAATGTAAAGAAATCAACAGTAAGACTGTTTAACCCAAAAATGGAATTTTGACTAAAGCTATAATTTAGAAGAACACGGGTTACTGATAATCGCAAGAATGAATAAAAGAAAGCAATTCGGATAGCAAGAATATCAAAAGAAGACCAGTAAACCAAAGTATATTCAGATAATATTTCGTATATCCACAATTTTTAGCCCCCTCCCTTTTATAGCTATTTTGGGGATATGTGTCTTGCCTTTGTCATAATAAGGCTATTATGGGCAATTAATGACATTGAATGCTACGTTGCATGATCATTATATTTAAGACAGATTCTCTAACGTTTTTAGCATTTAATGCTTATTAAATACTGTATTTGGCCTCTCATGTGTTGTCAGATTCATTCCCTTGATTCTTCTTGATTCTTGAACTTAAATGTTCTTGAATAGGTACGGGCGCTGAATCCTTTGAATAATAGCCCGTGCCTCTTCCTTTGCCTTTGCTCGTATCCATGCTACTCGTGCCTCTTGGCTAGTTGTAATTTTTTGACCATTTGACCAGTCTACGTGTCACGACACGTCATCTCCATACTACTTTAATATGTAAACTCAATTTTTCCCAATACAGATAGTCCCCCCACTTGCCATTTATTCATCAATTGAATATTTGGGAAGTGAATTTCATTAAAACGGGAATTTTTGTCACCATTAATGCTGTGACAGAATTGATGCTTCAATTGTCACTTCCATTTAATGCGTTTCACACGTGTCTCCTTCCTATTAGTTCTGCAGTTTTGCAGCACTTTTTTAGGCTTTCCTTTCGGCTTCCCTGTTTACGAAGTGTCAGTTATCATTATTATGGTCCTTCCATCATTGCACTTTTTCCTTTGACGGTTGCTTATCAGTATAAATATAATTTCTTTCTTTGTCTTTTACCTCATAAAGTTTACTGAACACTTTATTTCTCAAATCTCTGTTTGTTTCTTCCCCGTATCATCCTTCTTCATTATGTCTTCATCGAACNTAGTACCGTTCTATGACTTGCTTTTGTGCTGCCATTCTTACTAATGCAACTTCCCTTCTTCCTTCAAGTAAATCGAGGTTTACACGCATTTCTTCATCATTAGACTCTTCTGTTGCATGTGAAAACCTCGTACTTCACTCTCCTATCTCAATCGGAATTAAAGCTTCTACTCCATAAACCAATGAAAATGGTGTTTCTCCCGTACTTGTTTTTGTTGTTGTGCGATATGCCCATAAAACACCTGGTAGCACTTCTGGCCAATTTCCTTTTGACTTTTCTAAACGCTTCTTTAAATTATTAATTATAACTTTGTTTTTTGACTCTGCTTGCCCATTACCCACCGGATGATAAGGTGTAGATGTAATCCTTTTAATCTGCCAACTTTGAAAAAATTCCGTGATTTGAGTTCCTATAAACTGAGGGCCATTATCTCATACGATCTCCTTTGGTACACCGAATCGGCATATGATATTCCGCCAAATAAAATCTCTGACTTCCTTTTCTCGCACCTGTTTGAATGCTCCTGCCTCTACCCATTTAGTAAAATAATCAGTGAGTACGAGCAGAAATTTTACCTGTCCTTTTGCTTGTGGTAATGGACCCACGATATCCATTCCCCATTTCATAAATGGCCACGGTGCAATGACCGGATGTAATAACTCCGCGGGTGTATGCATATTGTTATCGTACCTTTGACATTTATCACATTTGGCCCCGAAACCTTCTGCTTCTTCTTCCATTTTTGGCCAGTAATAACCTGCCCTAATTAAGGTACTTACTAGTGATCTTCCTCCGGCGTGATTCCCACAATGCCCCTCGTGTATTTCCCTTATTGCGTACTCCGTTTGAGAAGATCCGAGGCATCTGGCTAAAGGACCACCGAACATTTTACGATATAGGTTGCCCTGGTTTAAGCAATACCGAGCAGCCTTTTTTCGAAGCGCATGAGCTTTTTTCTTGTCACCACGGACGGTTCCATACTGCAAAAAAGCAACAATCTTGTTCCTCCAATCCTAAGTTAAATTATTAAAATTTACCTCATTCTTGTCGGGGTCGAGAACTGAATGAAATAAATGAATAACTGAGGCGTTTGCATCACTTGCCACGTCAGCCGCAGATACAAGATTAGCTAAGGCATCCGCTTCAACATTTTCATCCCTTGGTATTTGTGTAACCTTCCACGTAGTGAATTACTTTATCAATTCCCGTACCTTTTCTAAATACTGTTGCATCCTTGCCTCTCTGGCTGTATAAGTCCCCAACATTTGATTAACCACGAGTTGTGAATCGCTTTTGATTATAATCTGATTTATGCCAAGTTCTCGTGCCAGTTCTAAACCTGCAATCACAGCCCTATACTCTACCTCATTGTTAGTTATAGAATGACATTTAATAGATTGTCGAATGGTTTCACCCGTAGGTGGTACCAAAATAATCCCTAAACCTACACCTTTTACGTTAGATGAACCATTAGTGAATAAAGTCCAAGTTCCTGGGTTAGCTCCATTGAACACCTGCAATTCTTTCTCAGCTTCTAATTGCATCCCCTGGCTAAAATCAGTCACGAAATCAGCTAACACATGTGATTTTATAGCAGTTCTAGGTTGGTACGTGATTTCGTATTCACTTAACTCTATAGCCCACTTAGCCAACCTACCTGATAATTCATGCTTATGTAATATATTACGTAAAGGGTAGGTGGTTACTACAGCAATAGGATGACACTGAAAATAAGGTCTTGATTTCCTAGATGCCATAATTAATACAAGCGCAAGCTTTTCTAATTGAGGATACCGCGTCTCCGCATCTAACAAAGATTTACTAACATAATAGATGGGGGATTGTTTACCTTGTTCTTCTCGGACCAAAACAGCATTTACTGCTACTTCTGAAACAACAAGGTAAATGAGTAGTCTTTCCCCAGCCTTTGGTTTTGCTAGCAAAGGTGGATTTGATAAGTATGTTTTCAAATTCCTGAGTGCCTGTTGACATTCCTCATTCCATTCAAAATGATCCTGCTTCTTAAGGGCTGNCGAATTTGATTGAAGTTGGACAAGAAAATTTCAACTTAGAGTCTGAGTTGGCTAAGATCAATGAAACCATTGAGAAAGCTTAGCAAACTCAAGATTTTCCTTCTCCTGTGGCCGAAGCTTCCGTGAATGTTGAAGTTGATATGGGTATCCCAACTCTTCCAAGCCCTGTCGAGCCTGTTGCTGCGATTCAAGCTCAACCCGCAACTATTGATGCTCCTGCCCAAGTTGAGCCCGTTGCCGTTGATGCACCTTCTACAGTTCCCTCATCTTTCTAGTGATAAATTTAAACTGTTTGAATTCTCTCTTTTTGTAGGTATCTTTTTGGAAGGTTATGTTTAAAACCCTTGGTTTCGTTTGAGGGTTTATTTTGGAAAACACAAGTCCCCAAACCTATCACGGGGCAATTGTATAAACAATTTGCAGCTTTATGACTAAGTTTTTACTTAGTCTTAAGTTTTTTAGTATTCTAGAAGTTTTCTTGTTACTATCTTGAACTTCTATTTAATTCATTCTTGTCTTTATTTCTAAGGACTTATAGAATAATCTGCATTTTTATTCTTTAGAAAATGCCTCTGCTAACTTCATGAATAACTAAATTAAACATGAATTTTAAAAGAGGGCCCTTTTATATTTCGACACTTAATGAAGAAGACGTCTCAACTTCATAACGGTGTTAACATACGATAAAAGAAATAGGAACATACATGTTTCTTTTGAAATAACATTGACCAGTTTTTATTTGAACTTTGTCTAGTTTTGAATAATACTTTACATGTATTTGAATTACATCTATAACTTTCTCGTAACTGTTTTTCTTGTAACAGATTTTTTTAAAAAAAATAATAAACACGAGGTTTTCCTTTATAACCCGTTTTAGAATGATAAACACGAGGTTTTTCTTTATAACCCGTTTCAGAATGATAAACACGAGGTTTTTCTTTATAACCCGTTTATAGCTTTTACCCTAACTACAATAAGGTTTTCTTTGGCCTTGGCTCGTGACTTATTGACTTTTACTCTGCACTTGACTCTTTCAGGCTTGATTTTTCCTCAATCTTCTTTGCCTTCTTTATATACATGCCCGTATATATTATGTAGTCCCCAAGTGTTTGAGTGTTGAAGTATGAAGCTTCGAGCACTTGATTGTTTCTCTCACTTGGTCCTTTTCCTGAAAAGGAAAAAACATACGGGACTCGGAGGTGCGATTATAGATGAAGACTGCTTAACCCGTTTGTATTTCTATCAGAATAATTGTAACCCTAGGCCAGGAATTTTAGTTTATTCCGTGTGCCTTACAGGTCGTGACTCATCATTTAGTACGGGTTAGCTTTTTGCCTATCATCTAAAATCGTTAGTAAAATTTTAACAATTCAAAAATAAACTNCATCTAACAAAGATTTACTAACATAATAGATGGGGGATTGTTTACCTTGTTCTTCTCGGACCAAAACAGCATTTACTGCTACTTCTGAAACAACAAGGTAAATGAGTAGTCTTTCCCCAGCCTTTGGTTTTGCTAGCAAAGGTGGATTTGATAAGTATGTTTTCAAATTCCTGAGTGCCTGTTGACATTCCTCATTCCATTCAAAATGATCCTGCTTCTTAAGGGCTGAGAAGAATTTAAAGTACTTTTCTGATGATCTAGAAATAAATCTTCCCAATGCTGCAATTCTTCCCGTTAGCCTCTGCACTTTTTTTTTACTTGTAAGCATGTCAGGAATTTCTTCTATGGCCTTAATCTGCGCGGGATTTACTTCAATACCACGATTAGAAACAAGAAAAC